GGTCCCCAACCCTTTTTTTGTACCAAGGACCGATCGGCCGGTGTCAGCCGTAACTGTGGACTGGTAATACCGCAACATCTTTTAGACTTTATCTGTCAGTATCAGAGTCTGAATGAGCTGTTGTTTTAAACATTGTCAGATTATCTTTGGGATATGACTGGATTATTTTTGGAATGAAGTGAATTAGTAAAACTGAAGTACATTTTTTCCACTGTGTCCCATTTTGGCCTGGTACCAAATGACCTACAGACCGGCACCGGTCCCTGGACCCAAGGTTTGGGGATCCCTGCATTACATCACTTATTACATCACCACGTCATGCTCTCTTCATTAGCAGTACTTGTCACAGAAGGCTGAACACATGCATATGTCATTATAAGTCTCCAAACACATTTGGTAAATTCTCAATAATACCTTTTTATTTTTCCAAACCTTATACCTTGTTCATTCAGGGTTGTTATTAATGCAGTCTGAACTGACAAAGACTTTGAAGACCAGAGAACAATAACGATCGGTTCTGCCGCAGCAGTAGTCCCTTCCAGCTGTTTTGCAGATGTTTGGCCGCTGACACACTCGACAGACCTTGAGGCCGACGTAATCGCCCTCCTAAATTTTGGCTACTACTATCTTTAGCCAAATGACGTTGTCAGAGAAAGAGAGAGAAAGAGAGAGCGAGAGTCTGAGTCTTCCGCCCTTAGGGGTGAACTTTTTTCAGGATTAGAGGCGGGTCTGGAAACAGAGGAAATACTTTTTATTCCTCGGCTCTTAGAGTGTGTGTGCTTTGGGATCAGTCCCAGACTAAAACGTTCCCTCTCTGGTTTTAGATTGAAGTGTTCTTCCATTATACTTTTGGTGCCTCGAAGAGACCTTCATATTTTTATTTTTTGTATTTGACATTTTGTTTCAGGCCTTAAAGTATTTAAATGTATGCAGTACCTTTCCTTTTCAGTGGCCCATGCTGTAATTTAATCTGAGACTTGCGTCATCTTTGCACTTTTACTGATTCCACACAAACACACACACACACACACACAGCAGTGGTGCCCATGAGGGATGAATATAGAAGCTAACCTAATGCAGTATTTTATGGCTTCTTTTTATGAGGGATACGCCGTATATTTAAAAGTGACGGTTCGCATCTGAATAGCTATTTATTTGTGGTCTTAGATTCGTTTAAGAAAAACAAACCAAAATAGGTTGAAATTAAGAATACGAGTTCCGTTCCTGCAGTGTGACGTTACTCGATTTTTGAGTCGCAATATGCCTTGTGTCACTCATATATGCTAACACAGTGGTAACATCATAATCTAAACACAAACGAAAGAAAGCAGTACTTCAGAATGATGAAACAAGACTTTCTTAATAAATTTATGGGACATTTTGACCCAACTGCGAACCATCGGAGGCCGAGGTCATTCTTAAATCAACCTCCTGTATTTCTTTGTGTGATAAATTGTAGATTTCCTGTGTTTGTGCAGATACTACCGGGACGCATCATATGCTGGTAGCTATTGTGCAACGCATACTGTTACACTTGCCAGGAATGTGGCATCTATTTCTGTCTGGTGTTGATTCTAGTGACAGCAACCTCTGTACATAATCACAAATGAATCAACTCTGAATGGGTGCATGTGTGTGTGTGCGTGCGTGTGTGTGTGTTTCTATTTAGACCTCTGGAGTTTCTAGCTTTCAGGCATTATCCTTAAAAACCAAATTCGTAGTTTTTCTGCTTGCAGGCTTGAACTACTGCAGTTATTGGCCTCCTTTTCCCATTAATCTTTATTTAACAGCAGAGAATAGACGGGCCTTTGATGGTAAACCATCTGTTTAGTGCTCCAACGAGTCAGGGTGGCTGGTTTAAATCTCGCAGAGGCATCAATTAGAGTCAAAGGCGTGCTGGGACACAAATAAGTATAATAATTACAGGATCATCTGCGTACTGGAGTATCTGTCGTACAGGGGTTTGGTGTGTTCTGTATAAACAAAGATGACAACAATGTGTCTGCTCCTCAGACCGCAGGTACAGATCAGAAGACGTAGAACGCTGCCTTGTCTCTGTGTCTCCTTTTTTCTGTCTCGTCTTAAAGTTCACACCTCACTGACAGGATGAGCTGAATGATAGCTAATCAGACGTGTTTGCGTGAATGCTTTCATGTATGTGTTTTGTTGAGGCTGCAGATGAAAGGCAGGATATTAAGAATGCAAAACGCTTCTGAAGTCGGTTAAGGCTGCCAAAATCTATCCCTGCCCCTCCCCCACCTCCCCGCCCCCGATATCTTGAGACTCCCTGCCTTCTGTAATTGACCTGCGTTTGAAGTACAGTAGCTCAGTCAGATTTGGCTTTTCTTCTTGAGCCCAGGTGGTCCTTCTTTAGGTTGGCAGCCTTGTTGGAATTTCTGAGGTTCATCTCAGTAGGAGGGCACAGCGGGGGATGGAAAGGGCGGCTCCTGGTATTAAAAGTGATTTCAGACTCGCTTTCTTTTTTCACTTTTTCAACTGGTAATGAAAAACGAAAAACACTCGGTATAAGAAACAATTGGCAGAAACTAAAGATTTCATTGTGTACTTCCCTATAGACGAGGGATTTGAAGACACCAGTAAGATCTGATGTACACACTCCAACCCAGTAGATGGCAGTAATGTGCATAGAGTTCCTCTTCTAGCTGCAAAGAAGATGCACACGAAGGATCGAGTTATCAAAGCACACAAAATGTTTGAACAGAGTTGAAAGACATGACCACATTGCTCGGCTTGAGTCTTTGTGCAGTTGGGTTTTTTTCTGACAGCTTGGTTGTCTTAGCACGTTGGATCAGAACACAGTTAGCATTTCATTGGCTATTGGTTAGAAGTTATTAATTCCTCGGGATTTCCCTTTGGGAAGTTAAAGCCAAAATAAGTCATATCAAAGCCTCTTATCTATTACACTGATTTTTTTTTTTTATTGTGTCCCACTGCTGATACAAATGTTCTGACCGTGAACCTGCCTCAGAGGGCAGTTAGGAAGGTTAGTCTGTGAAGTTTGTGCATAGAAAGAAACAACTTTTCTTTTTAAAGCCGGGAGCTTTACGTTTCTTCTACAGGAGGGAAGTGTTGATGGACAGTAAACTGCTAAAACTTTATTACATCTAAGATATTTCTTTGTTAATTTATGTCACTTGTTGTTGGCTGTGAAGAGGGAACAACAAAGCAAGAATTAAATTACTGTGGACCGGTCATTTTCCAAATCAAACCTCCTTCAGACTTTCTTCTGTCAGTATCAGAGTCTGAATGAACTTTGACCTGTTGTTCTGAAACATTGACAGATTATCTTTGAATGAAAACAGTAAAGGGATATGACTGGATTATTTTGGAATGAAGTCAATTAGTAAAACCAAAGTAGATTTTTTCCCACTGTGTCCCACTGTGGCCTGGTACCTAATGACTTACGGACTAGCAGCAGTCCTCGGACCGGAGCTTGAGGACCCCTCACTCTAGAATATAACCAAATACAGACAGCTTGTGAGATAATTTGTCAAATACTTTTTATTCACCTCTAACCTGGTGAGATACCCAGTGCTGTGTACTTTTCCCAGTTTTACTTTCAACAACTGCCCGTCCTGTGTTTCCTGACTTGTTTGCAGTGTCAACATTAAAAGAAAAACATAAATGAAGCCCAGGCTTAACTACTGTAGTCTATTGAAACGTGACTGTGTGTGTGAAGAGTATTTAACAGTTGAATTCACCACATCTGTGTTTATGTGGCTGATGTTAACACCGTCTGCTTCAGCAAATATTTGAACTCAAACCTGTGTTTGTGTGAAGATCCCTCGGTTTCCTTTGGATGTAGCGTCGACCGTGAAAACGTACCACAGTGACCGCGTATTATAACCAGATGATGAGTCTTATATTACTGGAATTTTTTTTTTTTGCTATTTAATGTTTGTCTCCAGTGTTGAGGCACTGACAACTTATTGACGTTCAGTGATATAAGTTTTTTTTTTTTTTTGGAGTCTCTGACATTAAAGCCAGGTTTCTGTAGCTGTGGTTCTGTTGATGACTCTCCCAGGCCTCAGCCTCCCCCTGCCTCTCCCATCTCTGGGTGTGCTAGTACTTTATGAGTCGAGCCTCATGTTGCTGCTAGCCTCCTCCTTTCACTGATTTGGGTTTGTTATGTGACACCAGTACACTCGAAATGTCAGCAGTGTTTTTGTTTTTTTATGGTGCTTTGCTATATAATACCAGCTAAACAATGGTGTATTATGGATCCACATTGTAAATAGTACACTGGGTGTCAAAGTGTATGTGCTGCAGAACAGAAGTCCTTTTTTTATGTGTGGTGACTGCAAAACCATCGCACATGATGTCTGACGGTGGAGCCTGGATCAGGTTTTGGTATCGTGTTTCAGTCTTTGGGCTCAATTTCAGCTGTTTCCCTGACTGTTGTGTGTGTTTGTGTGTGTGTGTGTGTGTGTGTGCTCATAAAAGCCCAGTTCCTGGAACATACTTGCATACAGATCAGACATTAAACAGTGGGATGAATTATACATATTTTGTTTGTCTGATGTGTTGAAACTATAGATTTTCTTTTTATTTCAGCCCTTGTTTTGTGTGGAAATCACCAGTGATTTTTAAATACAATATCCTAACACCCAAGCAGCCTTGGAATACTTTTTTTGGTTTTAAACGTTGCCATAACACTTTCTGTTTTTCTCCCTAGAAGACGCCGGCGTGCGCTAGTTGTTCTGTTTACCGATAAGCCCATTATCCTCGTCCCTGCTCTCCTGGAACACTTTCTCCCCTTAAGGCTGCATGAAAATGGCCTCGGATGACCTTAAAAATTCAGCACCACGTTTACGTGATTAAAATTTAATTTTCCGCTCACTAGAATTTGACAGCGTTTTGGCATTCAGAGCTTTTTTTTTTTCATCCGATGATAGCATAACAGGAGACTAAATATTTTATGGCGTTTCATTCATTTTTTAATGATCTCTCTTTCTCTCTCGCTCTCTTCCTGTTTCCAGACTGCCAAAGGATACATCCTCCTCTTTGATGTGCTCGGTATACGAGATGACAAGTACCTCTATGAGCCTGTCTATCTGAAGTAAGTGTATTCACACTGACAAACAACGTCACTGTCAGTCACAAACGTAATTCACCATATTACAGTATATTCAGTCTCTGGCAGAAGGTCTAGTGTAAAGAAATATTTTTCTAAGACTATGAGATGGAGGGTCCACGGGCGTGATTTTTATGTATTTGACCAGACAAAAAAACCCCACAACTTCAGCCTGGCTTTACTGCTATGTCAAGTAAAGTGCTAACAATGATAAGAGAAAATCAATTTGTCCACATGACCATTGTCTAAGTTCATTCAATCGTACGTAGTATAACATGTCCACAACGAGGGGCATTCAGGTACCATCGGAAATTAGTTTGTATTGTATTGTGGTTTAAACTGAGAATAACTAACTATAATAATAACATTAACTAAGAATTTAACTAAGAATTTATATATACATATATATATATAAGATATGATAAACTAACAATAACTGAGAATTTGTTTGTCTTTAAAGAGTTGGCCTTTGGAGGGAAAAAACAAATATGGTACAATGCTTACATTACAGAAAAGATTTCTATATATATTTGGTATCGCCATTCAGCTAAAAATATTAAGATATATTATATTATTCGATAATTTAACATATTTAGCATATTGCCCAGCCCTACTCCTGCTGGTTTGATAATTATTTGCTATAAAAACTATTATTTTCTTACGTTTATTGTATTGTATTTTATTGTGAATGTATAACAAAAAAAAAACTACTCCAGTTCTGGAAGTCTCTGTCGGAGCTGCTATAAAACAATCTCACCGTAAGGTGTTCACGAGTGCTTCACCGCTCAAGTGCTCTGTTTGCTCACCTTTAATTTGTGAAAATAATTTTTTCCGACCGATCCTTGAAAATGAAATGTGAGAAGCTAATGACTCTGACCTTCTCAGCAATAATAATAACGACACAAATCTACGTCATGTCAGCGAGTGTACAGAGCTGCTGTGCTGTCGACACAAATCTACGTCATGTCAGCGAGCGTACAGAGCTGCTGTGCACACGTTTCCCACACCAAGCTACAGTCCCTCTGCTTGCTATCCTACAAACATCTGTATTGTGTGCTTTTGTGTCTGCCTCCTGTGTGAACTGGAGCGTTTCACATTCCTGGACGACATACCAACAGAAGTGGCGAGTGGGGGCATGTCCAGCGGTCCTTTTTTTTTTTTTTTTTTTCTTTTTTTTTTCACCATCCTAAGATGGAAAAAAGAGTTGTACTTCGTTTAACCTGTGAGGAAAACTAATGTTTCTTTGTAAATAATGTGTTTTCACAGAGGAAGTCCCCGTGTGAAAGTGACCCCGGGCTATAAGGAGGAGCAATGTGCCCCCGCTCTGTCACTGGAGATGAAGAAGCCTGTGGATTTGGAGGCCCCCATCACCAGGTTGATGTTTTGTTTGTTTTTTTGTTGACGTTTTCCATCGTCCAGCATCTGTCTTCCTTGTTTTGTCTCCCAGAGTTCCTCTTGTCATCTGCCCGGCATTTGTGTAGAAACCACTAAATGATACTTCGAGCTTGCTGTGTGTTTTAACACGACTGCTCTCTGTAAACAGAAGAATGTTCCGCACACTGTGCACCACGTACTTATTCATTTCCCTCCAGTGAAAGCTCAAATCAGAGGCATTTCTTTGACGTCCAAAGCAAATTTTCACAAATCAAATCCAACCAGTCGTGTTATTCTAGTTTGGATAATTTACCAGCCTTAGACATGGATTAAACACTTGTCCAAATCATCGACTGCTCTGACATCATCGACTCGTGTTGCAGCGTTCGTGTTGGTCTTGCTCGGGCTGTTCAGCGGGCATTAGAAGAATGTGAGCCATTGTGTTTGGTGCCGGTGGCATGTTTAAGCTTTATGCATTTAGCTGGGAGTAAATGGGTTGGAATTTTTTCCACTTTCTCACATGGAAAGTTTGCAAAGCCAGAATGGAATCTCTGCACCTCTGCTCTCTTGGTTGTAGACATGGAGTCCTTTAAGGAAGTACACATCAATCTGCAGTAGGTTGAGGCAGAAGAGAAACCAGAGCCGACTGGAGTTGAGAACCAGATATTTAGCCTCACTCCTTGTCCGTGTCAGTCTGTCACTGACTCTTAGGAGATCCTACAGTTCTGGCGTGTTAAAAGTAGACGAGCTGTGTATTTGGTCGTCTGCGTTTCAATGCAGGTTGCAAGAGATGTTAAAATACATTTTTTTATGTATCCTAAATAATTAAAAACAGCTTGGAACTGTTAAACACATCTGTTGTACAGTTTAATGTTTACTCTGTTAAACTGAACATATATATATATATTTTTTATTAGAAGTATAAACTGGTTTAAAAACCAAAAAGCACGGTCTACTGCCTCTGTGGTTCCTTTGTGCTATTGATGATTCCCACTTCTTTCCTTTTTCACCTCCGCTCCTATCGGGCGTACAGTATTCCATCGAAGTTGACGTCTTTGTTGGCCAAGTGACAGCAGCTGTCACTCCTCAAATTTGTCTTCATTGTTTTTTTTGGGTTTTTTTATCTGGACTTTTTTTATGTGTTCCATTGTCATGTCTCCAGGCTGTCTACAGAACACAGACCACTGGGTAGACACCTGTACAAAAAAAAAAATAATTTCAGAGAGACACTGATTTTTGCAGGACGTGTGTTGCCTCCTACCGCTGTGAAAATCAACTCCTCCGGTCTCCCTTTCCTTGCTCTGTCATTTCCTTGCTCTGTCACTCTAGCAGCTTCTTCTGATTGCCTGCTGCGTCATCTTTGCTCTGATAATTGGCGAAACAGCAATGGCATAATAATAAGTCCATCCTTCTGAGCCTTTGTTTGTTTGTTGTTTGATCAGTAGACTGTGAGAAAGAGATGTTCGTGAACAAAAAAGAACATTTCCCAGAGATTGTTTGATCAGTAGACTGTGAGAAAGAACAAAAAAGAACATTTCCCAGAGTTGGTCTTAATTCTCCTTTACTAAATTAAATAATTAAATTATAAATAAATGTCAATTGTGATCCTGTTTAGAGGAAAATAATGATAAAGAACAGGGGGTAGTTCATATAAATAAGGGATGTGTTTGTTGAACAAATGGAGCCCCTAATAAGGTCAGGCAGCAGAAAATATATAAAAACATTACGTTACAAAACCATGACAGTCGTTCTATTGGTTTCAGTAGACTACGGTTTAACAGTTTTTGGAAAAATGGCTAGAGACGCGGAGATACCGGTACCAGCGATACCCTAAAAATAGCGCATATCTAAATCTCTGAAGCAGCAAGTCTTGGGTTCGATTCCCAGAGGAACCACATGCTGTGTTTCAGCCAAATATGGGAAAAATAAAGCTCAAATTATTATTATTATTATAAGTTATATATTTAGTTTTTTTTTATTCCTCATGTTCTACCAGCACTCCGTTTGAAATATACTGGTAGATCTTGGTCTACTTTTTGGCTACCTCGATCAAAATCATCAAAGAATCCACAGATTAGAACAAAAACAATTATTATTTGTCAAGTTTTTTGACAGTGAACCAGTCACTGTACACACAGAAACACACTGTGTGTTGTCTGGTGTGTGTGTGAGTGAGGGAGCGCTGGCACTGAACGCTCTGTCACAGCCCCCC